ACGAAATGCCTTAAATATGTATGAGGCACGGAAATGTCTCTTGGGACTTGAAAGTAGTGGAGTCACCATAGCATCAAATCCCTCTACTGTCTCGTGCCCTGTTGGTCTGTCTTGTCCTGGTTTTGATATCTTGTCCTCAGCAGGACTAGGACTCACTGGGCTTGGTATGCATTATATTCACTATGTATATTTATATTTTTATAGATATATATTTATTTGAAAATGAATTCAGTTGTACTAGAGAAAAAGACCAGATGTGTGTGTGCGTAAGGAATTGTGGTAAAGCGTTAGAGGATTCCAAAAGCATCTGGCCTTTCAAGGGCTTGTTGTGAAACTTCCTTCAAGGCTTTAGTAATCAGGTGTGTTGACTCATTTCTGTAGAAAATCCTCCGGAAGCTCACCAACCAACCACTCAGCCTAAAGTGAGAGGGAAGAGAATACAGGTGAATTAGGATAATGCTTTTACAACTTCCAGAAGAATCTCCTTTTTTTCAAGTGAAATTTCATTCTTTGGCAATATTGTGATGTCTTGGGCTGTCCTGAATTTGTCAACAGGCTGTCGACAGTACCATGAAAGTTAACATACTAAGCTAACACTACATTTCAGTTCTGGCTGTCTCTCACTGTGGTTGAGATGCATGTGCTACTAGTTTAGACCTTACCAGTATGAAATTTAGGACAGAAATGTGTAAGCTTTCTGTCTTAATGCAATTTTATGGAAGTGCATAGTCCAGACTGGAATTACCGTTTTATTTTCAAGCCCTGCAAATACCCTCTTGTAAGAAATGTACAGAAAACCAAGCAGTCCCAGAAGAATTTAATGACAAATCTTGACACTGATTCTTGAAACTCATGTAACCACCATGCTCCCTTGCGACCTGCCATCGAGGAGTGCTGTGCAGTTCCATGTCACATGCTTTCTTGGGGGTCATATGGGGGCACATGTTTGTGCCATTTGACTGTTCTTTAATGCTGCTTTTTTTAACGTTCTTGTCATGCCTATACTTTGGGCTTGGGGTTTTTTACCTCTTTTAGAGTATAGTGCTGAACTGCCTTGTGAATGCTCTTACATGAAGAGCTGGTTTGAGGGAATGCTTTGGGAGTAAGCAGTTTGGGGGGTGATTTGCAGTCAGTACTGAAGATGCAAAAGGAATTGAGTAGTTCTTAGTGTGGAAATAGTGCTTCATTCATATGAGCTTCTTAGAAAAAGGTTAGTGTCTGAAATTAAAGTAAGGTTGTGTAGTGCAGTTGCTTTCTTGTCTCTAAGTGATGCTTCTTTGAAACTGACAGAAGCAATAGAGGGGACAGAAGGGGATGGTGGGGCTGAAAGCAGCTGGTGGGGACTCTTATGACAATAGTTAGAGTCCAGTAGAAGGACATAAAAGGGACTCCCATTCTTCTTGGATATGTGATTCCCAGTTTAGGAACAAGCATTCTTAGTGTGCTCTGTGCACCAAATTAACAGCAGGTTTAATGTTAAAATGGGTTTCTAAGATACATGCTGGTGCCATTTAGTGAGGTTTTGTTTGTTTTTAATTGGTACTTTCGTGGAAAACGTTTTTCTGTAAGTCTTCGCTAAATATTCACTTGCATAACTTTTTGCAGGCCTTTTAGGTCCAACAGCCCTGTCAGTCAACACCTCAACTGCTCCAAACTCTCTGTTGAATGCCCTTAATAGCTCTGTGAGTCCCTTGCAGAGTCCAAGTTCAGGCACACCTAGTCCCACGTTATGGGCAACATCTCTTGCTAACACAAATGCCACAGGTTGGTAGAAGTTAAATGTGAATTAACTGAACTATGCAACACTAAGTCATTAGAATGACAATTGCAAAATTCTGGAATCATTCATTCTTTAGAACCTTAATTCTTAAATTTATCTTAATACAGATTAATAAATATCCAAATTTAAAGTTAAAACTTAATAGAAACTTAAGACATGCTGTCATATGCAATGTTCTCATCTGTTTTATATAGAAAACTATGTTAACATGCGAAGTATTGGTTAGATAAAGCATTACAGTTTCGGCATGCAATTCTAATGGAAACTTGTTTAGTGATGTATCACCGCTACATAAAGATAGAGATTTATATGAAGTACTATAATGCCTGACAAAGTTGAACAAGAAACTTAATCAGAACATGACCAAATTTTGTTCCAGGTTTTTCAGCTATTCCACACCTAATGATACCATCTACCGCCCAAGCAACCTTAACTAGTATTCTGTTATCTGGAGTGCCTAATTATAGTCAAAACACTCCATCTCCACCACCAGGCTTGACTCCTGTTGAAGTCCATGTCAATGGCATGCAATCAGAGAATAAAAAAGGCTCACCTTCTTTAAATGGTCATGTAAAGGTAAGTGGTATTATCTCTGGAGAACCAGATCTGTTTGCAAGAGCCATGTATTAAGAAAAGCTAAAAGAGAAAGCTAGCTGTATTAGTACATTCTTAAAGCTGCTAAGTTTAGAACAGTGGTGTTTTCAAAATATGACTTAAAGATTGAAAAATTGAACATTCAAACATACTGTTCTCCGATATCTGGAATTAATTTCTTGTTATCCTGCACAGACAGAGAAGGGAAATTCTTTCAATCTTTCCTTAAGTATAACAATGACTTTAGTGATTTTTTGACAATCATTTCAGACCTCAAATATCAAGTATGTGGCACTATCTGCCGCATCGCTAGGAGAAAATGTGTTGAGCACAAACCACAGTGATCCAGTAAGACAAACAAGTACTCATGGTGCCTCAGAACAAGTAGCTGCCAAGTCAAATAGTGTGGAAGGTAAGATTTTGACATTTTATTCTTTTGTTTGGTAGTGGTTGTGCAGTCTGTGTACAGTTCATGAAACAAAAATGTAAATATATTGCCTGCATGTTGGTTTTGCAGCCATGTTGAAGGGAAAATATCGCTGGATCTCACAGATTTGTTGCCAGAGAAAGTAAATAAAAGTTGTAGTATCTGAGCTGTACTGTTGGTAGAAATGCCTTTAGTCAACATAAATGTACTTGTAACATTTTATTCCTTAAGAGCAGAGGGAAATAATCTATGAACATTTTAGTGTGTTTTACAGCAGCTTAATTAACTTCATTGCTTAACACAATTTGTGCTCGTTCAAATGGTGTTGTATTTTTGCTTTTTCATGACAGGAAAGAATTAATGCCTTTGAGAAGGTTATTGCAGAAAATTGTGTAGATCAAACGTAGATGACACCGGCAAACAGAAATTGCCTGTTTTATAACACCATTTCAGTTATGCTGCCTTTAAGCTAAAGGAACTAATGAACTGTTCCCATCATTCTTGGAGGCAGGGAAAGCCAGTTCAACTTCAGACTTGAGCAAATACCTGTAAAGGCCTTGTTTCCCTTGCAAATACTGATCAACAAGGAGATGCTCTTTTATTAAGGGTTGTGGTCATTTGAAATGCTGATTTGAATAAAAGGTACATTACTCAATTAAGGTGATAAGTATTTGTAAAAACACATTCTAAAGATATTTGAACATTAAGTGTGGAGCTTTTATTCCAGTAAAAGTTATCTGAGCACCTGGCAAGGTTTATTAAAACTGGATATAAATTATTTGTTTTAAATACTCAGTCTCTTCTGATTGTCAGTCTTCAAATTTAATATTAACTAATATTACTTAAAATAATTTTTTAAAAGAAAGCATTTGGTGTGCCTACTGTATATGTGAATACTGACACATTTTTGTGCATTCGAACTTAAATTTCTGATTTCTTAAGCTTGACCAAGTTGTTATCCCTGAAGACTGCAACAGTTCTGTAAGTAGGAACAGTAGGATTTGTTCTATAGCTGTCATTCTTTCAGTAAGTTCACTGGAACATAAGAGTTTTTGTTTAACTATTCTGTTATTGGTAGGTTGCAATGATGCTTTTGTAGAAGTGGGCATGCCTAGAAGTCCGTCCCATTCAGCAAACACCAGTGATCTGAAGCAGATGATGAGCTCTTCCAAGCAGGCCTGTGCTAAGAGACAAACGGTTGAATTGCTGCACGGCACCAAAAACTCCCACTTACAGTAAGTTAAATATACAAATATAGATGAATGGAACTTCTGCCATACAAAACCACTTCATTTCTTTTGTAAGTCATAAGATACTCAAAGAACTGATTTAAATTGGGCTTGATTTTTAATTACATTGAGCATTAATATAGCCACCAGTTTGTCTGATAATTGCAAACTTTAAATGTTCTTTCTGTACATCTTAAGAATTTTTCTTCAGTTTGAAAAAAATAAATGCCTTTCCCACAAAAGAGCAGGGATTTTTTTTGGAGGAACTTTCATTACCTATTTCTGAAGGATATATTTTTGCACTTCCCTTTTTTTTTTTTCTTGATTGCTTTAATAATTCCTAACTGACAGCCTTTTTCCTTTTGTGTGTACTTGAGGCTGCTTTCTTCTTAGAAAAATGATATTTAGGGCATAACAGCATGTTCTCAAATAATTATTTTGTTTGTTTGTTTGACTCTGTCTTTTAATGAGCCAGTGGTGGGAAAGGCTATTTTGAGTCATAATATCTTGTGGCAACACAGGTTTTGTGCTTAATGCAATGTTTTGTGCAATCCACTCATGTAGTGTTTTCACTATTCTTTTTGGGAACTGTTTATTATCACTCTTCTGAGGTACATACTTTCTCTTACCACATTTATTCACACTGTTAGAGCTATGATATGTATTTCATTAATTCTGCTCTCATAGTTTAGAAATCCAAGGATTCCTGCTAACCACTCAGTTGTTTGTGTGTCTTGTTCTTCTTGTTGAGGATATAGTGCTTACAGTTTCCTTAGGGCATTTTTCTGGGATAGCCTACAGCATCTAATACAGGACCACTTTACTTTGAAGTAAGAGTTTATATTCTGTCTAGAGTAGGCATAAAATGTGGCTGATTTTTAGAAAGAGAAGGTTACACTAAGAAGTGCTTCGGCATGTAGGACTTCAATTGTTAAAGCTTTAAAAGCAAGTAGGACCCAGGTTAACTTTTTTAGTCCCCGTTATGCATCTCTCTTTATCCTACTACTATGGATCTGTTAGAACTGCTGAATTGCTGGCCTGAGCGAGGCTGAATTGGTATGAAGTCACCCTGTATAGGGATTGCGTGTGGTAATTCCAGATACCAGACGGCTCAAATCTCTGTCAAGAGATAAGCTATGCCTTGTACTTGGTCATACAGGAAGCAGCAATACGTGCTTTGTTTCACTGACAGAAAGACAGATAAAGGAAAGCTGTGACTTCGCAAATATTGCTAAAGATGTTGAGATGTTTGTGTACTGGTATTTCTTGAGTTTTGCTGCCAGACTTTTCAGGGTGAAGCTCAATTATCAAAATTGCATTGAATGTTCGCTGCTTGTGAAAAAGATGACTGGAGTTAATACTGACTTTGCTCCTGCAGTACCACAGAGAGACTGCTCTCAGATGCAGAGTTAAGTGCTAGTGAAAGTCCTGTGGCTGATAAAAAGGCTCCTGGAAGTGAACGGGCAGCAGAGCGAGCAGCAGCTGCCCAGCAGAACTCTGAAAGAGCACGTCTAGCTCCACAGCCTTCATATGTAAATATGCAGGTACGTTTCCCTGAATAAACCCAAATCTAGTGCAAAACATGATTAATTTCAAAGTGAAATTAGCACAGAATGCAAAGGTGGCTGTTGACTAGAAGACTGACTTGCCATACTGTTTCAGTAAAAGCATTTCCGAGCAAAGTCGTTAACTCTTTCAACTGAAGAGGGGATTGTCAACTAAAAAGCCCTTATGCTTCTGTTGAATTTAAGTACAGAATAAATTGGATGGCTATATTAGGCTATGCAAGCATCACTTGTGTGTAAAAGAAATCTTATATTGTTGCTATGAGAAGAGAGAATTATACGTACAAGAGACATTTTACAAATTTTATAAGCAGTGTCAACACAAATTTTTTTCTATAGCTTCGGATTTGTATACAGGGGGATTTACTGGAGTAACTACACTGGTTTTGCTTTACAAATATGGATCTGTACATATAGTCTTTTTTTTCTTGTGCTGTTCCTGCTTGGTTCACTACAGCTTACTACTATACTATAAACTACTTCCAAGTTACTGCAGATCTCCCCACAGAGGGAGAGACACCCCTCTGACTGTTTGTCAAGCAGTAGTAACAGTATTTTCAGTATAGATGTATCAGTGTGTGGGCATAACTAGACTGCATGGAGTAGTGGAACAAGATTAAGGTTAGTGTTTTGCAGCCCTACATTTCTGTTGGTTTGTGTGTGTTTAGACTTGCTAATCTGTAATTGAAAACAGTGTAACTTATTTAACCAGAGGTATTTAAACTTCAGATCTTCCATTGTCATGGGTAATGCAAATACAAGAGGTTTGGTTTTTTTTTTTAATTCTCTCAAAACTTAAGTTCTTTCCCTTTGGGAAGATGAGTGCATGGAGAAGAACTAAAGTTGCAAGATTATTAAAAATAACTGTGGTGCCTCGACTTGTTGTCAAAGATACATCTTACCTTTTTTGTACTGTTGAAGAATGTTTGAACTGCTAAGAACAGATGGTTAATGAACAGAAACTCTGCTTGAAAAATGTTTTAGTACAGAAAAATTCTACCGAAACGGTTTGTAAATACTTCTGCAGCCTCACTCAAATGGGTATCACATAGTTATTTAAAGTCTTTGTAATCTGTCTTTGAGTCAACAACTAAGGCTCTAACTGGATTACAGTCAAATTACTGTGCAGTACTTCAAGTTTCTCCTAGCTGTATTCACTGGCCACTTTCAAAGCCTTTGTTTTTACAAAGAGCTGAGTACTGAAATGACATTTAGTTAGAATGGCAATTGAGCTGTCTTCTGCATGTTTAATTTTTAGGCATTTGACTATGAACAGAAGAAGCTACTAGCAACCAAAGGTATGTGGATAAACAGTGACTTCTGAGAAGTTTGTTAGTACACAGCTGAAAGAATTTTCTGAAGTTTCAGTTTTGTAATTTCATGGAATTATAGAATCATAGAATGGTTTGGGTTGGAAGGGACCTTAAAGATCACCAAGTTCCGCCCCCCTGCCATAGGAAGGGACACTTCCCACTGGATCAGGCTGCTCAAAGCCCCATCCAACCTGGCCTTGAACACTCCCAGGGAGGGGGCAGCCACAGCTTCTCTGGGCAACCTCTTCCAGTGCCTCACCACCTTCACAGTAAAGAACTTCTTCCTAATATCTAACCTCAATCTCCCCTCTTTCAGTTTGAGACCGCTACCCTGTCCTGTCACTACACTCCCGGATAGAGTCCCCCTCTACCTTTCCTGTAGGCCCCCTTTAAGGCTTCTCTTTAGATTTGGTTTTAAATCGAATCTAAAGCTGATAGTAAAACATTTGTATATTGGTTTTCATGCTCCAAAAATTTCTGAATACCAACATAGTATAAAATACAATATAAACAACTTGCAGATGTGTTGCTTTCTGTGTGAGTATGTCCATATGCAAACAATCCCATTGTTTTCAGAGACCTCATAGCTGTAACACTTCGTTTTATTGAATGCAAATTAAACTTGTAAGATATTTGTCATGTTGGCGAAGTTGCTTCTTATTTCAGGGAAAAATTAAGTTACAAAATTGATAAGGGACTTCACCATATCTTTGGCCCTGTTTAAAACTGAACCAAATACCCCCACACCAGAAGAAAACCAGGAACTCCTTTGGCTTTCCTGCAGCCCTATGGGTTTAACTGTCTTCTGACAGAATAAATTGTCTTAAAGGGTAGCATTCAAGCTGTGTAGCAATCAAAGGTGTTTAGAATTTATTGTTTGGTGGGTTGAAGTCAGTTAGCGTGCCTGACTTCAGGATTATCATCTCACAACCTTTACTAAGACTGAGATTTACTAATTTTTCTCTGTATTTTTTCAGCTATGTTAAAGAAGCCAGTTGTAACGGAAGTGAGAACTCCAACAAATACATGGAGTGGTTTGGGGTTCTCTAAGTCTATGCCTGCGGAAACTATTAAGGAACTAAGAAGAGCAAATCATGTGTCGTACAAGCCATCTATGACAACTACATACGAGGTATAAAAAGCTATACTGTAATGGAAGTTTATTTCTAGTGAATGATACAGTTGTTTCTCTTGAGAAATGTCTAACTTGTTTGTAAACAGAAGTCGTACAGATAAGATTTTTTGGTAGGTTTCATCTTCTAAATATTTTTATGGTGAAAAATGTTTCTTAGGTAAACATTAAGGCATATGGAATACATTTCGCTTAACACAAAAAATTATATCCACTTTATAAATCTTACTCTAGCTTTATAGAAATTTGTTCTTGAAAATGTATTTGTTTAAAGAAACTTATAACAACTTAGGGGACCAAATGTCTCCACAGTTGTAGACAAGTGGAAGAAATTTTGTAAACTAATTAAAACAATGTGTACATAACAGATAAACTATACAATGTGAATCACTGCATGGTGGAGCAGAATGTTAGAAGAAGAAATAGCTACAGCTCATCTTACCTTCTGTTGACAAAGCTGTAGAACTGGAGGAGCTTTTTCTATTTGCAGTATTCACCGGACCCAGAAATTTCCCAGGGAGAAGGCTGCCACAACAAGTCCCTTCAGAGTCCCACCATGGGAATCTTGCAGGGAATTTGTTTTTCTTTTGAAAAGTGTTCTGAAGTTGCTTTTAGTGTGATTCTTTACTGTAATCTTTCCCAACTTCCATAGACACCTTTTTCTTTATTTCGGTCTTACTTATATAAAGCATAAATGGTATGTCTCTTCAGAACTGGGACTTCATACAGGTTTTCTCTAGGATATATCGATTTTTTAATGCAAAAGAAATGCTCAACCATGGAAAAAGGTGCCTTGGTGTTCCCCACTTTATGCATCATTCAACTACATGTAATAAGTTTGGATGCACGTAATGAGCTTACAGTAGTAACTAGGGGGTGAGAAAAAGCTACAACCAAAATCTGTGACTTTTCTTTTTACACACTTTTCTATACTAATTGAGCTAGGATGGGGTTCTCCTCCAGACCATGAAGCACCTGCTAAATGTCTCTAAGCAGGCATGTCATTCTAAGCAAGAGCACTTAGTCACTCAGAGTCTGCCCATGTGCAAACCACAGGCTTAGCGCTCTCCAGTGAAATGATAGCATGTTAGGACTGCAGTTTCCATTGTTCAGTATGAGCTATTGTGGAAACATCTGGGGAAGCTAAAAATCTTGGTTTCCTTGTATCCTCCTTCTGTTTAGTAGCCTTCAACATAATTTGTATTAGAGGCAGTACAGCCACACTTCTTCCATTATACATACCCATTTGAGAGTCATGTGCTAAAGTCTTCAAACAGATTTAGTATTGGTGTTATAGTCTAATCTGGGAAGTTAATTTGTAAAATGAGCTTACCAAACATATTTCATCTTCACTATGATATTTTACTGTGCATTCTGTTTTCCAGAAACATTGGGTGACATCTTTTTACTTCACAACTCTTATCCATCGCTATGATCTAACATAATGTAGAGGCCCTGTCTCTTCTTGCTCTTCCATAAGGCTTATAGTCAATTCCTGCTTTTCTTAATTTGTTGAATCATACCAGCCATAGCCCACACCTTCCTGATTTTGCCAATGGAAAGGAGCTTTTGCCTTTTTTCTTCAGTAGTGTCAATTTTCCTGAATAGTAAAAGAGATTGCTGCTGCCTAAGTTACACTTTTCAATTGGAATTTGATGCAAGTGGATAGAATTAAATTGTTCATTTGGTTCTACAATTTTTAGTTCATCTAAGTGTGTGGTGTCAATAATGTCTATCTTTTTGGGGGGTACATCCCCACCCAGTTCCATACTTAACTGCTGCTTTCGGGGAATACTGTTGCCTTGGTTTGGAATGTTCTGACACACAGTGATGAGAGTTGATAATTAGTACTTTACAGGAATATGAAAATCTGTTTTTAAAAACAAAAGAATCTGCAAATCCACGAACCATTGCAGAATGGTTGCTGTTGATGTATTGTGTACAATGTCGTTGTAAAGTATTGTGTACTTGATCCACTTATCTTCAGATAGATGTTCTGTTAATGTTCTTTTCCCTTTGAAGGGATGTAGCGGACAGACTGCTTTGTCTAGAATTTGTGTGGGAATTTGATACCATGGAATGTTTTGGAAGCAAACTTGGAAATACTGAGCAACTTATTTTGAAGCATGGTCTTTAAATAACTTCTGCTTAAAATCTGTAAACTCTGTATGTTTTAAGCACACCTGCTGGCTTTGTTTCTGGTTTGCGATTATTTGACTATTGATCAACTGCCAAAAGAATGTTTGCAAGGATTAAAAGCTTGGGGGTTTTTTAACTGAGCTGCTTCAAAGGAAACATCTGAGTCACAATGAAACTTCTGTTTTCTACCCAAATTTCCTTTTTATGATTTGCAGGGTTCATCGATGTCTCTCTCACGGTCCAACAGTCGGGAGCACCTAGGAAGTGGCAGTGAATCTGATAACTGGAGAGACCATAATGGGCTTGGACCTACAGCTCATAATGAATTTGTCTCCTCAATTGGCAGTCCAAAACGGAAACAAAATAAATCAGGTTAATAATTTCTTAATATCTGATTAAAAAAAATAAATATGTTGATACCAATGAATATTTAATATAAATGTTTCCTGACTTCACTAGGGATTTAAATTACCAAATCCTGTAAACTTTTTTACAGTTTGAAAAGTGAAGGTATGTGCAAGATTGTATAACATGATGTACAAATAATGGTCCAAAAGGAAAGCTAAGGAAGTTCTTTAAATGCAAGACATTCTTGCTGAAAGCTCTTTGCTGTCTTGGAAGGGGTTTTGTGAGGTGTAGTGAAAACAGACCTATATTAAAAGCTTATTTTTAGACTACCATCCTTCTGCTCTGTTGTCAATAAAACAACCAGATCTTTATTGGGCTATTTGACTGATGGAAAAATCGTAATCTGTGCTGGTGTGAGTTTTAAAGCATGATTCTCTGTATGGTGGTAAAAGATGACTGTCCATATATTTGGCATGGCCTAGCACATGACTTTAAAAACTGATTTCTGTGGATACAGGCTATAAATTTTGTAATTACTTTTTAAACAAAATTTGAAACTTACCAATTAAAATTCTACTTTAATTGAGGTATTTGAAAATTAATTTTGCTTTTTTAATAACTTAATATATGCCTTTTCTGAAAGAGTGAAGAATAGAGGTAGACAATACTGGTCCATACTAACTATAACTGCATTATGCGGAAATAGCTGCTGTGGCTGGTTTTACTTTTTTTGTTGCGTTTTTCTTAAAGTTGAGTAAAACCTAAATCCCAGGTTGACTGCAAAGTACACACATAATAAAGGTTGGACATCTAAAAGTTAGAGCAAATAGTCATGGTTGGTATACTTGTAACTATTCATTGTTTTAAAAAACTTGTTAGTTCAGCTGTGAATTGCTGCATACCATACTCTTAAGTACTCACAGAACAAGAGAGAAGAAAAACTTGTCTTTGAAATCAAGCCATTGATGTTTCCAAGTTAATTGGACAAAAATGGAAGCTCTAGATTAATCAAAATAAATGAGCATTTAAAATGTTCTTTTACATATGCATTAGAAGAAAATTAGAAACTCAAATACATTGACTGTGGGGGAAACTGTTCTACAGCACCTGTAGCTTTACCAGAGAATGAAATATGTGGAGAAGGGATGAAAAGTAGCTATGAGTTGGCTGGAGAAATGTATTAGCCCTAATGTATAGGTGCCAGATTAATAAAATATAAGTCTACATTGACCCAATTGCATAGTAGTGTTGAATTTCTTCTTTGTTCTTAAGACTATGCTTTCTGGCTGCACCAGTAAGAAATATTTCTTAGTATTCAGTTTTCAATACATGACCTTGCATCATCTGCCCTGAGTCTAGGATCATGAATTTCTGTTTGGGTATTTTTGGTGTTATCTTCCTCTGATAGTGAAGAATTTGAGACATCACCTTTTAAAGTCTTAAAAAAAAAAAAAAAACCAAACAAACAAAAAACAAACTTAGTTATTGCTTTATTTGTCAAACTTAATGTTCACATTTTCAACATTGACCATTTTAAAACTCTTTCCAAAATGGAGCTGAGGTTGATAGAAGTTCTTCAAATTCTGTAACTGATCTCAAATGCTTCTGACTAGTTCATGCCCAGAAGATAAGAAATGTAGCATAGCAGTTATGAAAAATGGTGGTTTTCACATCCTATTGGCATTCTACGGTGGAGGCCATAGCAGAAGTCTCTGGGACAATCTTCATTTCCCCACTCACCTGGGAAAGTATCCTTTACTTCCTGTGAGCCTCTCGTTCATTCACTGTTATTCTTCCCTGTGCCTGTAATAAGGGAGGGAGCACTCTCAGTGGCCTCGTTTACAAAAAAAAGTGTCTGAAGCACTCCCTGGGAGCTATCCTTTTCTTAGGCACCATAAGGAAAAATAATTATGAACTATGTGATTACATACCATCAGTGTGCACACACAGAGGAAAGGGATTGCACTGCTAAATCAGTTTTCTTGGTTTTTTAAGAACCTCACCCTGGAAACTTTTCTTACAGTTACAATTTCTAGGAATGTAATTTAAAATTGTGTTCTGGTGACAGATTTAGCTGTGTCACAAAAGTACAGTGAGCCCAGCTGCAAGACTTACTGGCTTAGACATAGAGCCTCTGAGCTTGTCCTATATTTCCAGTTTTCATTTTTTATGAAACTGTTGCATTTATTATTTGTCTGTATTGTAGTAAAATAATAGCCAAATCACGTGGCTACTATGTAGTTCCTTTTACCAGGAATTGCTCCAGTATTGCTTTCTCCCCATCCAGACCAAAAAAGGGCTGGTTGCATTTGTGTGCAATGGAGTTTTCCAAAATACACACTGGACAAAAGAGGAAGAAAGGCAACAGGGCCTTGCAGCTCTTTCCCCTGTATGAGTTCCTGACTTATATCTATGTGACAGATCACATAATGTGATAGTATTGCTTAAAAGATTTAACCAAATATCTTTCTATAGAAAACAAATACAGAAACTTAATTAACAAAAAATTTGCTTTATGCTGTTCATTCCTTCAGACCATTGAGGCGCGTTTTTTTGTTTAATAGCCAGATTTAAATATTTTGGTAATTTAATGATCTAATTGAATGCAATGTTGATATGACAAAATTGTGCATTTCTGTGGTGACTAAAACACGCACTTCTTCCCTTTCAGCTGAACACTATCTCAGTAGCAGTAATTACATGGACTGCATTTCCTCGCTGACAGGAAGCAATGGATGTAACCTGAACAGTTTGTTTAAGGGATCTGATCTGCCTGAGCTGTTCAGCAAGCTTGGTTTGGGCAAATACATAGACATATTCCAACAGCAAGAGGTTAGTGTTCCTTTGAAAGACACCTTTGTGTTTGTGGGATGTTTTCCATCAGTAGTTGTTTAGTCTCTTGACCAAAGCTACTGAGTCTCACTTTGTGACAGGATTTCATGAGCTGTTCTTTCAAAGCTATATCATACGTCTTCCAATTTCCAGATAGCCAGCCCGGGCTATCTGGAACTACTGTTCTGTCCTGCACCTTCTGTTCTGTAATGTTTTGTCCCGCACCTTTGATTTATACTGAACAAAGAATTAAACTAGGGTTTGGTTGTTTTTTTATTCAAGGAAGTTTAAACCTTGGCTCCTACTTGTAAACTAGGATGCAAACTAGAATTTAATACCTTTTGGTCAGCTTCATGTGTAGGTTATAGAAATCCAGTGTGCCTTCAGTAGTAACGTCATGTCTCAGGTGATGCTGGGGTCACATATATTCATCCCTCACCTCTTCCCCTGTGTGCCAGTTGACTTGCTTTGATCCATGCCCAGCAGGGAGATAACAGACAGTCATCTCTGAGCTTTCCATCTCCGCACCAACTAATCTCAGTTTTGTCCAAGTGGTAGTGTTTCATATCGGTAGAATATTATATAGGTGGAGTCAACTTGGTTATCTGCAGATAGTTTATTCTGGTGACAGATTTAACCATGTCATAAAAGTACCGTGAGCCCAGCTGCAGGACTTACTGGCTTAGACATAGAGCCCCTGAGCTTGTCCTGAAAGCACTGTTGTTGTATGAGGGAAGCTGTATGGGTCACACAGCTGGAATTGGGTGTGCTAGGGAGCAAACCAGATGTCTGTGTGGGTTGTGTCAGTATCTCATGTGGTACAGGGGAAGGACCACAGTTGGATTTGGCATCTTTTTGTGTTCTGGACCCATCTGTCCGCTCTGCATCTTTATCAGCAGTGACGTCCATGCCAGTTACTGGTCTCAGGTATGCATTTGCGTGTTTTCTCCTAATGGACCACGCAAAGTGGGGTTTTGTACAGGTTGACCTGTCATTAAGAGAACTGTGCATATGTTCATGAAGAACAAACTCCAAGAGTACCTTCCATTCATGTTGCATGAGTTGCTCTGGTGTGCCAATATTTGGCTTCAGATTTGCTCCCAGGAGAGGAGAACTGCACATACCAGGGTCGCGTTCAGGTGTGTGCTACGCTATTCCAAGGGTAGATACAAGGCAAATTTTTTCCTTCTCCTGTGCGTTAAGTCACTCATGTGTGCGCACTCACAGAATCTTCTGGAGTCCCCTGAAGTGTATTGCTGCTGTCTCAGCCCGGTGGCAGCTGGATCTGGTGTGTTTCCTGCCAGCATTTCTTGTCTCTCTCTAATTGTGCTGCTTAAGTGCTGTGGGGGAATTTAATTCCTGTGCTTAGGAACTGCACCTGAGATAATGAACTTTGCAATACAAAGCACTGGCAGGTGTGGGATAGACACCAGCATGAGTTTGCCTGCAGTCAGTCTGAAAGTGGCAAGGTCAGTCCTCAATCTGAATGTATAAATTGAGCTGTGCCTCAATTAATTCTGTGTACAGTTCCTCAGGTTTATCTCCTCTGTACTCCTCTGTGTGTTCCATAATACCTATATCTAATCATTAACCCTTTCCAATTATCTTAGCCACTCTCCTGAAAAGGAGAGATGGCTCTGTTTTCTAACAGTAAAGATGGCTTTTGTTTGACAAGGGAGTAGGGGGTGTATTTTGTTTTTTCTTACCTCAAGAGCTGCTGATTAGGTGTGAGATGAGCCAAGTAGTTTGGCCAGAGTGAAAACTAAACAATTTTCCACTGTGTTTCTGTGAATTGTGTTGGGAGCAAAAAACCCCACAAACAGCATGGTTGCACACACTTTGGAATGTTATGAAGTACTCAGTGCTTTGACTCAAATGGATCCCTAGTAGTTGAGCAATCATCCTCTGCTAACCTGCTATAATCTGAACAACCTGCCATAGCTGCAGACATGTATACCTGGCTGTTCCCAAGTACGTTGTAGCAATTCTTGTAAGTAGTCAAAATCTCAAGAGTCACAAATAAGTAAGATTAATTGATCTTCTGTGCTGTTCAAAAACTACTTGCTTTTTAGTTTCTTTCATAAATACAGAGTAGCAAATTGAGGAACTGTGTGAAGAAGCCATTGGAAAGCAATGACTGCTGTTTACGTGCAAATAGGTTGGCAGAGTAAATGTAAAATGCATTAGGACAAAAAAAAAAGTGAGGCTATTCCAAAACACACTGAGACTTAATACTTTTGGGGAAAGACTTGATTTGCATAATTTTCCTATTTCTTTTTACTCTAGATTGATCTGCAGACATTCCTTACTCTTACTGATCAAGATTTGAAAGAGTTAGGAATTACCACTTTTGGTGCCAGAAGAAAAATGCTCCTTGCCATCTCAGGTAAATAACAGATTATCATTTGTTGATTTCAAGTATTGTTTGTATTCGTCTCACTTGAGTTCTGTGTTTATAGTTGACAAAGCATCTTGGAAAGACTAAAAAATGAGAATCTAGTCCATAGAGGTCATATTGGCTTGCCTCTCCTCAGAAGACACTTAAAGCCAGGCTTTGGAGAGCTTTCACGTTATTGAATAAGGTTTCACTTGCATAGTTCTCTGTCCCCTTGCAAAGTTGGAGCCTGGTAGAAAGTGTATTTCACAGCAGATTGTGAACTTTGTTTTATGCCCCTAAACGGTGGGTCCTACAATCTCTGGGATTACAGGCTCTGCAGACTCTGAACAGCGCTACGTACTGGTCAGAACTGGCATTTTCAACCTTTTGGTTCCCTGTCCTCCACTTTATTGATTAGCAGAACAAGCATCCTGCTGGGAAAAAACTACCTCGTTTGGGGGGCGGAATCTTTGGGTGTGGTGTGTGGGGTTTTTTTTGTTTTGGTTTGTTTTTGTTTGTTTGTTGTTGTTTGTTTTCCCTAAGGCCAGCTGTTTCTGCAAAATGTATCAGTTTAACAAGAAACATGTGAATCTTATTTGGAATTTTTCCGTCCCACTTTTAATTAAAAGGTTGTCTTGTACCCTACATGCAGAAAGATGAAGGCCAAATATAATTTCTTACAATGTGTTGTAGTATGTAATGCCTAACTATATTTTTTTTCTATTGTAATAAATAGCATGAGATTTCATATTGCATAGGAATGCTCTGTCGTCATTGTCTAGGCAATGAATCTGTGTCAGAGGAAGAGCTTTCTTTAGATGCTTCATTGTAACACTAGATCATTTTTCACCCCATTGCATTTCTTCTTCTGATGACATTAGTGAATGGTTTTTATGAAGTTAGAATAGTGATATAAAGAGGGTAAAATGCAATATACTTATTTCAACAGCAGTCAGAAAATCTATGTAATCTTTCAGTGATTTGTATCTATCATGGAGTTTGTTTACAAGAATAGAAAAGTGGGGAAAAGAAAAACATTTTGGATGGGCAATTGGTGATAGAAGCTTAGGGTGCATGTCTGAATAAGAGGTGAGCATCGTTTTTTTTCTGAAAGTCCTTATTAAAGTATTGCTTCAGTGTTGTGTTTAAAGAATTGTGCATTGAGAAATGATCAAGGTGCTGATAAGCTTTTCTGTCATCTGTTTACATTGTGTGGTTGTGCTGCAGCCATACATCTTGTGTACACATACCTTCAGGAAGATTGCAGCTTTCAAGTGTTACAACAGAACCTTTTTAAAGTGTTTCAGCCGTGTCCATTTGATCTAAATCGGTACTGCAAAATATTATCTACTCCACATTGTATCAGTGCCAAGTAAGAATTGCACCAAATAGATGCCTGCATCTCAGGCAGCCTCTATGACTCTTAACTTGGCACTCCTACTATCCTGTTGTCTGTGAGGTACTCGCTCATCTTAACAGTTCATTTTCGTCCTGTTCTGTCTAAAATATTCTTTTGTTTAAATAGAAGTTTTGCTTTTGGTTTTGATCAAAATATTAGAATTAATTTCTGATGAGAGACTTTTTGTGTGTGTGTGTGACTTCTATAGAATTGAATAAAAACCGAAGAAAGCTCTTTGACCCGTCAAACATACGTTCATCATTCCTGGAAGGTGGAGCTAGTGGAAGACTGCCGCGTCAGTATCATTCGGACATTGCTAGTGTCAGCGGTCGCTGGTAGCAGTAAGTTGTGGCTCAAAGTCAGCTGCAAAGATGGACATGGCAATCCTGTGGACAGCTTTCACTGCACACCACCCTCTGCACTTTGGGAGTTTGGGTGTCAAGGACCAAAGCGTTTTGTCTGCACAATACTGTGCCAAAAAAAAAAAAAAAGAAAACACATTTTGTCTGTTCTCTTTCAAAACACCAAATGTGGGTTACATTTTACTCATGTAGATTGGACAGAATTTGCAATAATAATAATAATATAGGGTTCTTTGTTTAGTATTTTATTACGTATAACTATAATGTATGCACTGAATTTTTACTTTGTTGAATGAAGGAAGAATGAAGATCTAGGATGCCAGAGAGCATAGATTTTGCTTTTATCAAGATGGATTTTTCTGGTACTGCTTAAAATAATTATTGAGGTCTTTCTGCACTTTACATGTTCTTATTTCTTGTCCTGTGGAAATTTATTTCTCTTTGATTTCCGTAACAATTTTTTTATATTGGCACTACTCAAATTTTTGTTCAGGTGTTCCTGCATTAAGTCACATTTCACTATAATGGTACTAGAAACTGGTTCTTATGCAGTTTTTTCCCTCTCTCTGTCTCCCCCGTAGTTCTCTGAAAAGATGGTTCCAAAATCAAGCCACTTAGTAGTGGACCAGTCCTATCTACGCTCTTATGAAGCAGTCTAATGCTGCTTGCAATAATACTCACTCACTGTAACGGAAGCAATGAAAGACCAAAATGGACCTTGCAATATTAACCCTTTGCAGTCATCATATTTAACTGCTGCCTGTTATGCTAAAACTGTTTTTAATGGTTGTCTCAAAGCAAAGGGCTATTTTTAGTACCCTGCCACTAAAGGACACTTATTTATATCAGACTTTTATTTTTAGATTCTGTACACCTACAATATGTAACAGATTAAATTGATCTACTGCAGCTTTATGGTAGAGAATGAAAGGCATTCATCAAACTAGAGCTCTGGGCTGTCAGTTTGATTAAACAGACAACTAATCTAATTTGACAAGACAGCACTGTTGCCATTTAATAAATGACACATATTACTTACATGACTATGCATGCAGCAATTAAATGACCTACATAAAATAGGTGTAATAGCATCTGTTTTGTTCAATCTAGATTTGTAATTGTCAGCTGCAGAAGCGTTTAAAACTCTGGAGATGAACTATTTCTGAAACAAGTTATGTTCAACAGAAAGAGTCCATATTCTAAGTGGCTAGAGCTAACTAGTGCATTCTTATACTGTGAAACTCCAAATAATTTGGCAATATTATTCCTCTGTCTTTACAGATGTCTTGTTATGGGTTTATGAAGGGTTCTGATACAATGAAGGAATACATAAAGTGCCTCTTCCTGTAATGCAATATGGGGTTTCCAAGCATTAATTTGTTGAAAAGCATTCCCATAAGAAATATTGTGATTTACCTCTACTGTAATGTATTATTTATGTTCAGTGTACCAGCCTTTTGAGATGGACATAAACCACTTTCAAGTGCTCTTAACAGAAGGCATTAGATAACATTTACAGTAGTTGGTTTTTATGCAAAAATGGGTGAGAAATAGTTTTGACACTTTCCAGGGATAATTCTTTCTTTTAAGGTGAAAATACAAAATGATGTATAGAGAAATTTGCACACACAAAGGGAATTTAAATAAACTATTACTTGAGGGCATAAGTGATCAAGCAATAATATAAAGTCTTCTTGCGGTTAGCAAAAAATAACTGCTCAGTACTCGTTTCAGCCATATCTACTTAATGGTGTAGAGCTGGATGACTTCCTCTGTCGATCAAGTAGCAGTTAGCTTAGCTTCCTCTAGTTTTAAAACTACTACAAAATGGAATGGATAAAGCTGCATCGTGTACACACGCAGTGTTCACATCAAAGTTACTGTGCTCAAATGCCAAAGGTCAGTATCCACATGTCTATGAGAGATTTGTGTCTGTGTGTGTTCTGTGGGCAAGAGCAACTTCATGGAAACCCTTGTGGAAGCCACAACTTCTAATTCTAAAACTGTTTACACTTGTGCTTACTTCTAAGCGTGAAGATAGTTCCATTCACATGGACTACTTATGTGCTTACAGAGAAGCTGTCATTTAAATGTTTGTATTTGCAAGACTAATATTTGCAAATCAAATTGTATTCAGTCATGTTAATTTTATAAAATATTTTTAATTAAATAAATATTCAGCAACACTTTGTACGGAACTTTCTGCAACCCCTTCTTGCTCATTTTGTCTAAATTTAAAAGCATCAAAAAACCTTTACACACTTAGATTTTTTAGTCTTTCGTAACTACATACTATGTATCTAGACAGTGCTATACTCAAACTGATTTTATTACAGTATTAAGTTGATGTGGTCTTTTGCTGAGCAGTGCTTATATCATCTACACCAAAGTAAAGAATTTCCCGTTAACAACATTATTTTTTAATAGGGCTTCACACGAAAAAGAACACACTGGAAAAAAAATTTCTCACTTACTTTGATTCCACAAAGGGAATATGACAGTACAGTGTATTGTTAGTGTTATATTATGCACAAATATTTGACTTGCTACATAAAAATGTTAGGTTTAAATCTGTGCCTTAATAGTGACCAGTTATCTGTAAATATAGAGCAGATACAGATTGTATTTTTGTGGGTTGTGTCCTTTTAGTGATTTTTTTTTAAAATAAAAGATTAAATTAAAAAATTAAAAATGGCAATTTTCAAAACTAATCAGTGTTGCATAAAATTTATATAACTCCCTTGTATTCTGATTGGTTAATGAAGTATTTTTTTATATAGACCCAGTTCCAGGGATGCTTACTTGTTAATAAAATATAAAAAGCAGTATTTGACATAATTGCAACGTTTCTTTTGCATACTAATACTCCATATGTTTTACTATTATTTTTATGTCACATACAGTATGTGTGTCTGGCTTTTAAATGACTATGCTTTTTTGAGATACCTCCTTAAAAATTAATACAAAAGGAGTTACATTATCTCAGGTTCAATTCATAGCAGGTTTTAATAGTTTGGCTTATGTAAGTTTTACTCTTTCTTTAGTCTTTCCGTTTTAATGACTGCGTATGTTTTGATCTGCTTGGCACGACAGTTGTATGTGTTCTTTCATGATGGTCGTTATACTATTGCTTCCACTGTAGAAGTGGGGAAAAAAAAACAATAGGGATTCTTTATTTGGGATGCTGGCCACGTGACCAGTCAAAATCTAGTGAGAGGCATAGCTTTCATGCTGAGGCAGTATGTGCATAATGTTATGTCAATCTTGTCTGTTTGCTTGGCATGTGGTGGTACAAGTTTAACATTACTTACTTCAGTGCATTCAGGCACTTAGTTATTCCAGCCTAATGTGTTTTCTTTGTTAACTATTTTATATACGCAGGTCTCCGCTTAGATTACAGTATTCCTGGCTCACTGACCTTTTAAAAATCTGAGTTATTTTTCTGAGTACCTACTGAAAATTGCAGATGTGGGAACGAGTCTGATAAGGGAACAGATCAACAAACTCTTCTGTTGAGGACAACTGAAGGGTATGGTGCTGAGTACCGACTCACAAGGCATTGGCATAAACTACATAGAAATTGCACAGGCAGGCGGACTTGCAAATTGCACAGCGTTCCTGATGCCTGAGCAAATAGTGAACTACAGAGGTCTGAAACAAGATAACTTCCATTGTGGACCATTTATTTGGGAATATTGCTTCCAGTGGACCACGATGTGGCTTCAGTCAGCAGAATGGTAAAGATGGTGTGGGGAAGAGGAGGAACAGTGATGGAGCATCAGAGCTAGGTGGCCACTCTCCCTGCGGTGCGAGTAGTGTTCCCAGCAGCTGGCATGGCATGAACAGAGTTTCTCCCTGAACAAAGAGGCTTCACTGTCCAGGTGCTTATCACCTCTCTGTTACCTGTCAGAAGAGCAAATCTGTTGATTTCCCATCTGAAGAGGAAGATGTCCACTAAAAGATGTTGCCAATACACAAGAGGAAATGGATAGATTCTCCAAGCTGTGTGAAGGTTAAAAGTGCAGCATCTGTACTTGCTGTTTGACCCCACTTCAGTCGAATGCTTGGTGGAGGAGACTTATTTTTCCAAAGCCCAGGAAAACATGGTTCTCAGAGGTATATGAGTACTGTTGCCAGCTGATCAGGAAAGGTGTGGTAGGCAAGGATTTGTGCTTGTAACGTGAAGTAAGTGAAGAAATACTTGATTCCAGACAAGTCTGGGCACTGCTAGAGCTACATTTTATCCTTGAAGAACTGGCTTGCTTTTGTACCGCAGACATCTGAGCAAAAGAAAGGCTTGTCTTTTATTTGAAGTTGCTGCGAAGTTTTTAAGGATTTGAGAAAATGGAAAAAAAAAAAGACTTCTAGAAAATTGTGAAGTATGCATGATTGATGTCTACAATATTTTTGACAGTTTCTGTGAAAGTGGAAGACTTTTCTTTTGACTGAAGATACTATCTGGGGCACTTCTATATCTGAAAACTAAATCCAGAAATTACAAGAGGCTTTTTGCAGATGATGATTTGCCATTGTATTTGATGAAAACTGGAATTTTTATCTTTGTTTCCTGTGCTACAGACATACAGCAGCAGTTTTTTATACCGTTCTAATCTTAATATTTTACATGATTTCATGAATCAACAAAGTAAATTTTATAACTCAAAGTGCAGTAGTAGAGCAGTCCTGTTTACCAATTTTGATATTCACACAGCTGTTAGGAGCTAATGGTTAATTAAGATTTTTTCCTCTCACTTTAAAGAAAGTATACTATTAAAGAACATAAATGATAACAAACTACTTTAATAAGGTTTAATAGTAAAACAATAAGGAAAAGCAAAAACCATTAACTTACAACTTTTCATCAAAAAGCAAATTTTCAGCCTTGAAGGAAAAAAATTGTCACAAACTCTGAAGTTGATTTGTTTTGTTTTGGGGTTTTTTTGTTTGGTTTTTTTTTTATTAAATAGTCCAGAAAAT